AAACTGAAACATCCAGCTGATATGAAGTGAGGGGAGAGGCACAAGAACACCCAAATTTGCAGATTGTACCCATTTGACCTAGCCTCAATGGCTTGATAATCAGAACTCAACTAGAGGAAGATAAAACAAAACAATTTTTGATAAAGGAAACAAAGGTAAATTGCTACAATTTGATGAACTGACCTATACTCATGGAGGTAGTAACTCTAAATACTAAGAGAGAGGGAAGTAGTCTGCACATCAAGTATCAATGCTACCCCCACTGTACACAGGGTACATAGGGATTGGCAACAGACATTGGCTACCTAAAATGAAGGGGCGATAAAGGCACAAAGTGACTGGCTTACGAGGTTTCAAGAGGGAGTTTAATTTAAGAGTGTTTGGGGGAAGAAAGAGTCCCCATTGAATAGTTGTCATCTTGTCTAGATGGGTCTGAATAAAAGAGATGGGGATAAGATTCCTATGAGTCAATAGTGAGTAATTGTTATCATGCCTAATTGCGACTGTCACAATTGTAAAGGTAGAAGTTTTGTAACAAAAATGGGAGCAACAGTTAATCTTACAGTCCAGAAACAAAGGACCCAAGGACCATCAAGGGAGAAGAGCACAAACGGAACGTGGGACCTCATCCAGAAGAGCAGTAACACCAGAGATGAAGGCAGAGATGGGGATATGGAGAGAAGGAGCCGCTGAGGACTCTATAAATTCATGGGAAGAGAGGGACAAAGAGCTGGTGGCCAGGAGGCAAACTTGCAGAATGTGTCCTTTGGTGGTGTAAATTATTATATATGCCTGAGTGTTTTTTTTTGTTTTTTTTAAATGAGCTTAAGTGAATAGAGAGAAATACTGATGGTACATGGAGGGGAATGTAATCTTTGTGATGAAACAAGTTGTATGATTTGTTGAATGTAAATCTGATGATCTGCCCTGTAAACTTACACTTAATCCACAATAAAAACTTAAAGAACAGACAAACAAAACAAAAAACTTTTAAAAACCAGGGAAATAGAATATTCTATAGAAGAATCTTTGATAAAAAGGGAAAAGATTGACAAAAGATTTCAAATTTTCATGGAATCTAGACTTTCTGGAACCATGGGGGCTAGATGAGCTCCTGAAACTATTGCCTTAAGATAATCTTCAAACCTTAAATAAAAAATATTCCCTGAAGCCTTTTTAAAACTATAGTTTAGCTTGTTGTTATTGTTAAGTGCTGTAGAATAGGTTCCATTCCA